AATAGCCCAGTCAATTGGGCTCATCTTCGAACTCGACCGAAATCTTTATGAGTCTAAACTGTGTAGAAATTTCATCAATATCTGACTCTCCTTTCGCAAGGTATCGTGTAAACGGCTGGCCGAACATACTGATCGACTCTAGGAATGTACTCACTTTTTGAATACACTAAAACGAGGGCATCCACAGGGACTAAAGGGCTGTTCCTTAGTGCGCTCAAGGATGAATTCTTTTAGACAGATTGATCAAAATCAATCTATCGTGAACTTTACTTTTTGAGTACATAAAAATAACGTTCACCTTATGGAGAACAAACGAGTATCACACAGACACACTATTAAGGTATATGGCTTTTTCATAGTTTTTCACAAGTGTGATAGTAAAGACATATCGAACGCAGCATATCTACCCCCTATTATTTTACATCATTTTCAAGCTCTTGATGAGTTCTATCTACTCTAAAAAAAAGTGTTATTAGTAATATGAAAAACAAACAGATATCGCACTGACACATTATCAACATATATGATTTTTTTATATTTTACCCACTCTGTTATATAGGGACAATCTTGTGTGCAACCCGTTTACCCCTATAATTTAGTACCATCTTGTAGCTTATGAAATTCTCTATTAAATGCTATATAACAAGTGGACTTTTATTTTACTCTAGTAGAAAAATTGCTTACGAGAATGGCATTATATGATTTTTCCCTCCAAAAAAATATAGAAAAATCATAGTGAAATATAAGTTTTTTTTCAATAACTCGGGAATGATCAGGCCATTTAGGCTCATCTTCGAACTCGACCGAGATCTATATGAGACTGAATTGTGTACAAACTTTCAGCTCAATCGGACTATTCTTTCGTGCGTTATCGTGTAAACGGACGGACACACAGACCGATTCTAGAAGTGTACTCACTTTTTGAGTACACAATAACAAAGAATTAATAGTAGATTCATACCTAATTAATAATTAATAACTAATGGTTAATTAAATTTAACCTCAGATCCAAGTTATCCGTTCTAATCTGAGTTATTTTAGTTTTTGTGAAAAAACGTTAATTAAGCTTAATTAATTAATTAATTAAATCAGCTACCAGATTCGGATTCTTCACATTTGAATACACCTTTTTCAATCTTAAAAAATTTCTTCATTAATTAACGACTAATTAGAGCCTAGTTAATAATTAATTAATCAATTAATTAAAACGGACGTCAGATTTGGATTCTCCATGCCAAATTACCCTTCGTGCCACAAAATTAGCAAAAAAACTAGAAATAAAAGTGAATACTGTGTCAAATGAATCACGTTGACTAGCCAGTCTGTTGAGATTCTATAAAGTATTCTCGACGTTAGAATATAATGCTACACTTTTTTCTCAATATTTATATACCATTTTGTAGCCCTTGAAATTCTCTATCGAATGGTATATAATAGCTGAAGATTTATTTGCTTATAAAAAAAAGTTTTTTTTGTCAAAGTCGAAATACGTCAATATTCCAATACAACAAAAACAGGAAATATCAGTATTTTTTCAATAACTCGGGAATGGCCCGGCCAATTAGGCTCATCTTCGAACTCGACCGAGATCTAGATGAGACTGAATTATGTTGAAAATTTCAGCTCAATCTGACTCTCCTTTCGTGCGTTATCGTGTAAACGGCCGGACGGACGGACGGCCGGACACACTGACCGATTCTAGTAGTGTACTCACTTTTTGAGTACACAAAAATGCAGAGAATTGCTCAAATAAAAAAAATATTGAGATGACTGATTGAATTCTTATAGTATTTCCTAGACTTTTTTGTCAGCAATGCAATAGTTAACAATTTTAAGATATTGAACAACAATTGAAGTTAAATTGACGTTTAGAGAACTGTTGGCCACTGTGTAAAATAGAGTTCATCTCCTTAGACTTGTAGAGCTCATTCTGTCTTAGAATGGATTGCAGGATCTTTTCTATAATTTGTTTATCTTAACTTGCATCTTTATCAAAATACAGGTCTATAGCAATTTATTAAAACACCCACGATTTCGAAATAGTCGTCTATCGTCTCTATCATCGTATTAGGCACAACATTGTTAAAGAAACGTCATTGTTTTACTTGACCGTTTGCATATTCTATAATCCAGTACACTTTAGTAATTAATCGTGTTTTATTTGTTTTATGAGTCATGTACTATTGCTGATCCTTTTTCGTGAATAGAAACATCTTAGTATCATAATTTTTTTCCATTGGCAAAAAAAGACCCAGTGCTGATATTATACAGCCATCGGATAATCCGAATTTCTGATCATCATTTTTCAGTAATTGTTGAGTTAGTGACTGTGTGTGCTTTTGTATTACATATGTTCAAAATGTTAAATGTTTTTATATAAAATACTGTATTAATACAGAAGAAGCATTGTCAAAAATTCTACTGATTTGCGTTTCTATTTCTAATCCGAAGAGTGTACATATTGCTTGATGATTCAAGTCTAACCGAAGTACCATCAATATCAATATGTCGTTAAGTAATCTCGAGTTAAACCTGTCAAGACATGACAGGTTAGATCATGATCATTGAGTTTCAGTGGTGATCGATCAATCTTTTAGATAGTTTAACTTCTTCTCTTTACTTCGTATTTCTTATTTTAGTTTTTGAAACAATTCTATCAATTTGTTATGAGCGATTATTGACATATATAGTAGATGATGTAGTTGATAAAGCAGTAAAAATAGAAAAGGTATTTGTATTGGCTATACCAATGTTTTTTTGTTGATAATTCCAATTGTGAATCAGTTTGAGTTGATGCATCAACGCTGTGTGTATTCACTTTCATGCTTGAATCATTTTTAGTTTGCATATTATTGTTGGTTACTATATTATTTTTCTTGGCATATAGTTTCATAAAACATGAATTGTGTAATGTGAATTCTAGTTTCAACAGTTCATTTTCAACTATGTATTGTAACTGAGCTTTAGTTTGGAACAGATAAAACAATATAACAGTGCAACTGACTAACTTATATTATGATGAATTAATTAGAACGGAGCTAAACCTCTTCGAGATCCCATCCCGACTGACTATCACATTACAGGTAACAACTATGACAGCCATTTTCAGCTTGTGCTCTACAAGAGTCATTAAGAGGATTTTAATAGTTAAATATATTCTAAAGAATAGTGTTGGTACCAGATACAGGTATATGAACTAAATTGAATCGAAATTACGTTACTTCGAAAAGAGAGCATTTATTTCAGGTCTTTAGACATCTTAACTTATGAGAAAACTTAATTTCATCTCATTATTTTCCATATTTTTGAGGCTATACTTAGAACGAATATGAAAAATTGCATCGATCTATATTTGCCCCTCTATAAGAAGTTAGCGACCCAAAACCTGACTTTTGTATAGATTTTTTGAGCATCGAACTTGAAGTAACTTTTATTTTTATGTGTTTCGAATTGGAAAAGCAATTTCGTATATTACCGAATGTATTTCCACATATTTTAGTGTCGTTATGGACTGGCTTAAGCACGGTAACTAAAAACAGATCCCCTCCCGACATCCTACAGTAAATAAGATTTTTCTCTAACAAAATTCTATTTTTGGTTAAATTTTAATCTAATATATGGAATTAGCATAAATTGTTCATCTAAGATGGTTGTGACATTCTATACAGATATCCAATGTACCGTAAAAAGTGAAAGTCGTCTTTCGATAATAAAAATAATCTTATTCTCCTCAGAATTTAATGGCGATTTCAACTATTTAATTGTTCTTTGAAGAAAATTTTCGATAAAGAGATATCCTTATCGATATTTGTCGTTAGAAATAAAATAATTGTTAAATATATAAATTAATATATAAAATTTCTTTTATAAAAAATCTTGTTGTTCTAATGATTAAAATTTCATTCTAGAGAAATCTTTTCTTTTGTTTTTTAATAGATTTTATCAGAGAGATTGATTGAAATAGAAAAGAAAATTTGTTTTAAAGTTTGTTGAAGGATAAAAAGTAAATAAATAAAGTAATTATCTTTAATTTTATTTTTCTGTCAATAAATGTCTATTTTCGTTGTTAATTCTATGAATCGATCAATTTCAATTGAATTAATGTCAAATATTCCAATATGTATATATTTTTAGCAATTTCTTTCCAAATATATTTGTTTTTATTTGAAAAGAAAGTTAGTTATTAATTAATAAAATTAAATTAAAAAAAAAAGCAAATGTTATTTTCCTATCTAAAAATAGTAAAAGAAAAAAGTTTCATTTTGTTTTGTTTTGTTGAATATAATAAGTATATAGAAGAGATGAAAGCATCTTATATGATAGTATTTATCTTTTCTTTTTTTTTCTTCTTTTATTGATCATAGAAGTTAGAAAAGAGTTCTTAGTCGAAAAAAGAACTATTAGGACGACGAATAGAAAAAGAATAAAAAAAAAAAGAGAAAAACTGACATTAGTTTTTTTTTACACTTGATTAGCAATACATTTGGCGAGATATAGATGAATAACAAGAGAATAGAAGAAGAAAAAAAAGCCAAACTAAGAAATAGATCCTTTCCTCTTTTTTTCTTTTCCTTATTTCTTTTCCTCGTAACACATCTATGTGTGTCTTGACCCATATAGAAGATTTTTTTCTTTCGTCATTGATGTTAGGATGTGTGTGTGTATGTTGGAATATATTGTGTAGAATGTCGTCGATGGGTACTCTTAACAAATCGACAAAACGATTCTTGGATAGAAAAGAAGAAGAAGAAAAAAAAATCTCTTCCTATATATATTATATTATATATATATATATATATATCATTTGACAACATGCAAATAAGAACGTGGTTACAACTAGTTTTTTCGTCTAGATATATAAGAAAAAGAATTTTTTATTGATTTATATTATTGAAAAAAGAAAAAAAGAAGTTGTTTTTAATTTAACAAAATCTCAACAATTATTATTTCTTGTTAAAATAAAATAAAATCAATATGAAAAAATGTCTTCAAATTTCAATATGAGTTTATTTAATACGAAAATTTTCAATGTTTCGTCAATTGAAATGTTAATATTATATGGAATAACAATTAGTGGAATATTAGTTAATTTATTAACAATGTTATATTTATTAATCATAGCTGCATATAGAATGAAATCATCATGTTTTTTATTTCATCATTGTCTTATTTGTTTAACATTATCAATCTTATGTTTACCATATTCATTAAGTTTTTTAAATTATTCAATACGATGTAATTATTTAGCTAATATACAAGTAACATGTGTAACAGCTCAATTATTAAATATGGCTGCGATGGTTGCTAGTGAAGCATATAGATTTGAAGATCTTATTCATCAAGATACTCCTCCCGAAAAAGATACACAAATTATTAATCAACATCAACATAATCATTATCAATATCAATTAAAACAATCAAATAAATCAACTATTTCATGTGGTTGTCTCTCTTTTGGAATTCTTATTATTTGGTTTTCATCTGTTATACTTCATTTAGGTAACAAAACAAATTCATTTTATAAAGAAATCTATCATATAGAAATTGTTAGGAAAGACATTATTACTAAACTCAAAATCTTTTTGAAATTTATTTCACATATATATATATTAAGTTTTCATATAAAAAGTGTAAGAGATGAATTATTAATAATACGTTATAGAATTTCATTTAATAAATGACACTGACGATAGTTATTGTTCAAGTATTAAATTATATTTGTCACGATCAGATTCATATAAGTGACTCTTTAACTTATAGAAAAACAAGAGAACTGTGAAGAAAAAAGTGAATGAAAGAAATTTTATTTAATAATGAGATATACATCACAGAGGTAACTTACAAAAGAAAACCAATGATGTTTGAAGTACACGATAACGATGTGAATGTCGTTCAATTTTCTTTTCATTAACGCCACTATAGACACGTTCGGACTCAATAAACTGATTTTTAAACATACCTTTTCTATTCAAATAAAATTATTAATTAAATACGCATTCTCATAAAATTCTTTTTTTTTCGTAACCAATTAAATCGAATAGATTTCTTTCTTATACAATAATTATTTCATATTGTCGAGTTAAATTTCTTTTTACTTGTTTTAGGTATAACAATGATTGGTAGTGAATCTAAATCATATTATGATTCTGATAGTCGATATTGTAATTTTTTAATTCGAGATATTCGTGGATATGTGTTAACATTAATGTGGATAATAATAATAGTATTTAGTTTAATAATAACATTAAGATATATTCATAAAATCTTAGGTGAAGTATCATTAAAACGTCGAAATAATCAACCATTATTATCCTTAGCTATACTTGGACAATCTCATGGACAATCAATTGCATCAAGAGATATTCTTATGCAACAAATTGAACAAAGACTTAAACTTAATATTTTACTTATTATTATTTTTATTATTTTTTGGTTTCCATTATTTATTCTTACATTATTTAATATTAAATTTGAACTTCACAAACAAATACTTAGGTAATTATCTTTCTCTTATTAGATACATAAGAATGAAGAAAATCTATTGTAGGTATTTAATGTTACTTGCTTGGTCGAATTCTTCTGTATCTCCATTAACATATTTATTATTATTACCAAAATGTAGTGATTTATGTCGATTATGTTGTAGAAAAGATCGTTCAAGTACATATGATAGTTTAACATCATATTATAATAGAATTGGTGATAGATTTCATGATATTGGAAAATGGGATCAAATAAAAACAGATCAATTTAATACAAAAAATAATAATTCGAAAAAAATAAAAAAATATTTAAATGAAAATGAAAATGAGAATGAAAATGAGAATGAGAATGATAATGAACATGAAAATGAAACTGATGATTATTTAAATAAAATCAATTCATTTAAATTAAACAAATTTAATAAAATTTCATCTGATTATTCTGATGAATCTCATACGAAATCGAATTCAATTATTGTTAAAGAAATGCAATTAAATGATAGTGATTCATCATCATTAACAACAGTAACAACAAAACAACAACATCATCAATTATCATCAAATGGTTTAATTGTTACATCGAATAAACGAACACATTTTTAATTTTCAAATTCTATTTTATTCAATTTTATTTACTTTTTATTATTACTATTCATTCAATCATTTTAACATCATCAACAACAAACATTTTTATTGTGATTTTTCTTAAATGACATGAATGTTTTTCTTTCTTTCGTTTTTTGTTCTTCTCTTAATCATAAATGTAAGTGAGAGTGTGAGTGAGTGAGTGAGTGTGAGATATTATATAGTGACAAATATTCTTTTCAATTCTTCTTAATAAATATTGATCAGTCAAAGAAAATAGATAGAACTATTCAAATTTAATTCATTTATATTATTATTAATTGTTCTTTTAACAAGTTTTATTCAAAAATTCAAACTATTCTATTATAACTAAATATCGGAATGACATCGTTACTAGTTAACGATATTTGTAAATATATAATAATTTTATTAAGAAAATAATTAAATAGGAAAAATAAGTTTAATGTAAAGTTAAATGAAATAAAATGTTTATTTTCAATTAATGATAAATTCAATTAACACTGATTAATTTTATCCAACAGAATTTATGTGTTTTTTTTTATTTAAATATTCTTATCTTGTTCAATATGATTTGATAATCTATTTAGTAATTAGATATTTTTTAATATTCTAATAAACAAACGAATCGTATATATTATTTTAGAAATATTCTATTAATAATCAAATTTCTTCAATCTTTATTTAAATTATATTAGTTTGGTTTATAAATTAAATAAAACAGAAAAAGAAAAAGAATCGATTTAAAATAGAAGTAAATCTCTATTTGAATGATATGTGTACAACGTCGAGTTTTGCAACTAAGATGTACGTTGTCATAAATGAGTAGTTATGATTTTAATCGAGTAGATCTTTTCTAATCTATTTGTTGATATGGAGATGAACAGTGTTATATATCCTCTTGGCATTAATACTATCCATTAATGTTTTTCTTTTTCTATTAAGATAAGAAATGTTTCGTTTCTATGATCTTTATCTTTTACCCTAACTCTTCAACAATCAAATTGGAGTTCAATGTACATAATATGCTGAGAAAGTTAAAGAAAACAAATCGAAATAAAAATATTTGGTGATGATATGAATATGGAAATATCTGATAGATTTTTTTGACAAGATATCGATTTTGTTTTACATATTTATCGCTATTAAAATTATTCAATAGATTTATAACTCAATTGATCTACTTGACCTTGTTAATTATAATTACAGAAATAAATGAAATAATTACAGGAATAAATACAAAAAAAATTAATTTATACAGAAATTTATATTTAACGTTGAATTCGATATCGAGTTATAATTCTTCGAACACCAATATTGCGATCCAAACCAACACCAGGAGCACGGCTGAGTGTTACACCAGCAACACGCCCAAGACGTACACCAGTACCACGATCAAGATTTAAGGTGGGTGTGGATGTGGTTGTTAATTCCTTCTTCTTTTCACACCCACAACCAAACTCACACCCACATCTACACCCACACCCTCAAGAAATAATGTGTATTAAACTTGCAAAATACTTACATATTTATTGTCTTTATGCATGCGATATATATCTGTATATTGAGAGTGCATGACCACGGGCACGATTAATGCCAGCACCACCAGAAGTAGGGTGAACAATAGCCACGGCTCGTTGGGGTGATGTAACTGTGGATTTTTGCTTATTGAAAATTTCTATTGTTGTATTTACTTTTGTAATCATATCCTTCATTGTTTCAATCATTGACGTGATTGCTTTACTTTGTTCTTTGTAAATTTCTTCTAAATGTTGGACCACAATCTAAAGGAGATTTGAATATTCTTTTCAACATTACAAGATCACTTACTTTGAGGACGGCGGCGGCGGCGTCGTCGTCCTAAAATAATAAAAAATAATTTATAAATTGATAAGAGAAAAAATGATCTATATCATAAAAAATTAAAATGTGTAGGATGCAAATTAAAGAAAATACATGCAAATATTAATTTAAAATAACTTTTACTTCGGTTATCGAATCACCAATCATTTTCTAAAATCCAAAAATAAATGTAAATCTTTTTGATTAACAGAAAAAAATATAAGCCTAATTAAGCAAAACAGATTTATTTCTACCATCACAATACAAAAAGCAAATATGAATATATATGGATATGCAAGAAGATAAATTATATATCAGGAAAAACGTTGCGAAAGAAGCAAAAATACTGACTATATTCAAGGGCGTTATCATCTAGCTAAAAAATTACTTACTAATTTTTTTTTATTTAATCTGCACATATTTTACTCTAAAAGTATAATATAAAACTAGACGTTTTTTATATATTAAAAAGAAGACTCTTGTCATTTTTTATCGACACGCGTATCCCACGTCTCAGGTATTTCTATTCACTAGCGAAAGACCTTTGGGTGCAAGTTCTGATATTGTTTTAAACAAGAAGAAGACAAAACTTACTTTTAACAAAAATCTAAAAATAATTGAGTAGGTGCAAATCTAAAAAAATTTTACTTTCAAAAAACAAATCTAGAAATAAAAAGACAAATAAAATACCTCTTGTTTATTCGAATCAGACGTCACCCTTTCTTCATTTTGAAATCGAGGGAAGTCGCCAAATCCCGGTTGAATAGTCCAGCACGGAAACGACCGATTCCGTGATATCCCACAGATTTCATGGAAGCAATATTCCAGTTAATGAATCCGGTCATCAAATTGCGACTTAGGTTCGATCAGTTTTGATTTTGGTTTAGGACTGATTGATTCTCGTCGAGGAGCAGATGCTTCTCCTTATACTTATCAATTCGAATGAAGTATACATTTCGTTGTTTCTTTCGGGCTGTTTTCTTACCGCAAGACTCCTCTACGTTCGTATCTTTAGGCTTTCATTCTCTGTTTTTTTACCATTTGATTAATTCAAAATTTGTCTGCTTTTAGTTGCGCTTGAACACTTCGATAAAGCGCTACAGTCACCTCTGCTGGTCGTAGGTTTGTTTTTCTTTCAAGAATCGAGCCTTTCCGAAGGTCAGTAGGTTTTTCATTCGTCGCATATCGATTTTCAAATTCGGTAAGTAAAGATGTCCATAAGGGTAAATAAGCAAACCATTTATAAAAAACGTAAATAATACGACGACAAAAAGGAAGATTTGTTACATTTTCATATTTCCTTTTCGAATCTAGTAACTCTATGAATTGTTGAAAGTGACGAATAGCCTCAATATTAAAAGGTGATTCATGGATGATTGCCTTACTACTGTGCATGTTCTCATCGACCTCATCTAAAAGGTCAGTCAAGTCTTCTTCCACGTCGTAATCACGTGAACCAATCTTTTCCGCGGTATCGTCACTATCATATGGTGCTTCCAAAATAGCCGGTAGAATATTAGCGGTATCAGTAGCTTGTGAATTACCGGATAGATGTAAATACGTCTGAAAAATTTAAATGCTATCTATCTCTAATTCACCACAGAGTGTGGGTGTGAGTATTATACCTCATCCAGAGCCGCCCATACCGGCACTCACACCCACACCTACTCAGAAGAAAAGGTCATATCTGGCTTTTTTTCATCATTATGAATTGCCTTGGTTAAAAAGTAAACATCATATTTAAGGTCAGCACAAAAAAACACTCTGAAAAATAGACATGTAACGCAGAAAAATTTTACAAAAATTTAGCGGTATTACCCTTCAGTAGTCGTTTCTTTCAAAAGCTGGCTGAGTTTCCTTACAAGTGAGTTTTAAAAAATTAATTTAATTTAACTTGTTTATTTTATTCATAATTATTAATCACAAAATTAATTTTACCTAATACAATTATTAACTATTTTGAATAAAAAGAAAAATAACGAATTTTATTTTAAATAATATTATATCGTATCAATTTAGAATTAAAATAAAATCAAATGATGATGTGGGTAGGTGACATATTAAGAGAACAACACATACACACGAAATTGAGTTTAATTAAACGATAGTAATTCATCATCATTAACAACAGTAACAACAAAACAACATCAAGTAAATCAACACATTTTTAAATTAAAATTCTATTTACTTTTTATTATTATTCAATTATTTTAACATTAGCAACGAACATTTTTATCAAATGACATTCATTTTTTTTCTTCTCTTAATTCTAAACGAATATTGAATGTAAGTGTGAGTGTGAGAGAGTGAGATATTATATAATGTCAAGTACTCTTTTCCATTCTTCTGAATAAATAATGATCACTCAAAGAAAATAGATATCATTATTAATCCTTCAATTAACAAATTCAACTAAGAAATAAATTACATTTATTCTTTTTGTATCGAAAAACAATGTTAGAAATAGAAGAAAAGAGAATTCGTAAATATTTGCGAATGATGTCACTAGTGAACGATATCCATAAATATATATTTTAATTTTCTAATAAAATAATTAAATTAGAAAAATAAGTTTAATATAAGCTCAAATGAAATAAAATGTTTATTTTCAATAAATAATAAATTGAATTAACACTGATTGATTTTATCCAATAGAATTTATATGTTTTTTTTATTAAAATAAAACATTCTTGTCTTGTCTTATTCAATATGATTTTATTTAATAATTAGATTAGATATTTCTGTTTTGAGTCTAATAAACAATCAAATTGTATATATTATTTTAGAAATATTCTATTAATAATCAAATATCTTAAATCTTTATTTATTTTATTTGAATTAAGATTAAATTAAATAAAAAGAATAAATTTCTATATATAATTGAACATATGTTAAGGATTATGATAGTTTAATCTAAATGTATTGATTAATAACTTTGTTGAAAGCGAGTTGAACGGATGATTTATTTGGGATAAGATATAGGAAAGAGAAATGGTGATATATTTAATATAAAAAAAACGAAGAAGATGTGTTAATCTATGTTAATGGGTGTGAAAGATAAAAATGTGTTAAATAGAAATAAATGAAAACAATTGGTTGAATAGGATATTGTTGTTTGTCGATGACCTTTAGGTCAATGAACTAATATTTAATTCGTCGTTTAGAATATATTTTAGAGAAGAAAAAAAAACGAAAGAGAAACAAGAAAAAAATGGAAAACATATGTTAGATCAATATGAATATGAATATGAATCAAATCACATCGTCAATATCATCAATAAAGTAAGAAATTCTTTATTTTTAACTTTTAATATTTCAATAAAATTTATTTTAGAAAAGAAGAAGAAGAAGAAAATATGAGTGAATCAATCGAAAGAAATTATAATAGTTTATGTCTTGATTTAAATTTGGATAATGAAACGAAAGTTGATGCATGGCGTTCGTATGAACATATCCGTAAACATTATTTATTAGAAGGTGATCAAATTCATTGGTTAGCTGTTTCATTATATGTTTCATGTCGACGAAATCGTTATTTAACTTCATGTGATAATAATCCAATATCAATAAAACGTTTATTAAAAAGTTCAAATAATTTTGATTTAATGATTTTTTTTGATAAATTACATAAATGGCAAGATATGGCTAATTTACCTCTTAATATTCGAAATAAAATTGATCAAGTTGAACATGCATTTACTATTTCATCAATAATATTTAAAAAATATTCGGAAATATTTGTTTATTTATTTGGTGGAAATATAAATAAATATTTAACATATGATTATCAATTACAAATTAAATTAAATCACAAAACTAAACAAAAAAAATTAAATATTTATCATTTTTATTCATTTATTTGGACAATTTATGCATATTCAAAAACAATTTATCCATCAACAATTAATGATCTTATTGCTTCATTTCATTTACTTATTGCGTCATTTGAACTTATTTATCAATCAATTATTCATTTTAAACTCAATCATTTTATTAAAGGTATTTATTAAAAAAAAGAATTTAAGAGAAAGAGAAATGAGTAATGTGAAAATTATTAATTTTAGGTGAATTTTCAAATGAATTAAATATTTGTGAAGAAACAATAATTGATAAATTATGTCCAAAATATCAATGTTCATGTGAAACAACTCGTACAATCTATGAACAACATTTAAAAAATGATTTTATTTATTTATTAAATGAAAATTACAATATAAATGATTTATCAACAGATGATTTTTATTTAAAACAAATCAATGAAATAAATAAAAAATATGATGAAATTGTTTTAACAAATTGTATTATTGATGAAAGAATATTTTTAGAAAATAAAAATCAATTTAATGATTGTATAAATTCATTAAATGAAAATCGAAATTGCAAATCTCAAATAAATAAAACTCCATTAACTGCAAATCAACATTTTATATCAAATTCTCATCAACAAATCAATCAAACATTAACACCCATTTCTCAAGCTAATCAAGCAATTCAACTTTTATATTCAATTGTACAACAACAAATTATTAAAACAAATCCAAATCAAAATATTATTTCACTTATTGGAGATCAACTTTTATTAGGTTAGCAAATTTTCTCTTTTTCCTTTTTAATCTTATTTTTAACAAATTCCATCGTCATTATTTTCCATAGATTGATTTTATTAAATTTTATTTGAATATTTAGATAGGCTTGTTCAACGTTTAAATGATTGGGAAAAAATCTTTTATGAATCGTATGATTCAAATGATTTCTATAATATACGACAAAATAATAATAATCAAATGAATCCATCTGATTCATGTAAATCTCGTTTTGATTTATCATTAAAATTATTTTATAATAGCTTAGAAAATATTTTAATTCATCAAAAAAAACGTTGTAATTCATCAAAATTAAATCATCAAGAAGTTCAACAACAATCTCAGTAAGATTTTATTTGATTTTTTTTAATAAGAACTAAATTTTATTTATTAAATCTTTTCTTTAGTGATTTAATGCAAAAAAATGAATTTTTAAAATCTCTTCTTGGTATATGTTTATTATTAGTATTAAATGCTCATTGTGATCAAAGTCATAATTTAAATTGGATATTAAATATTTATTCATTACATAGTTATTCATTTTATAAAATAATTCAAATCTATTTACAAACATGTAAACAATTATATCAATGTCGATCATTTGTCAAATATTTATCATCAATTGAAGAAACAATGTTATCATCTATGGTTTTTTCAACTGATTCATCATTATGGAATGATATTGAAACCAAAGGTTTTTTAACTTATCAACAAATTCAAAATTTACAAATTAAATTAAATAATCATTCAACAACACCAACACATCAAACACCAACTAATTTAACTTCAATGTATTTTCAATCACCAGATCATAATAATGTTAAAAGAAATTTATTTTCAAATTCAAATTCAGATAATCAACAATCAAATGTAAGTTTTTTCTTTATTTTAAAAAGAAAATAAACACGAAAACAGTGTGAGTGAGTATAGGATATATCTCATCTATTAATATCCTTTCCAACTTTCTACATATGAAAACGAGAAAAAAAAACGTTCCGCTTTTTATTGTTAAAGCGCTTTTCTATTCTCCCATCTAATAACAATGTGTTTTAACAATAAAAGGCTAAAGCTTTTATCGTTGTCACATCTAGGAAATTTCAAAAAAACATCAATAAATGCGTTTTTCCAAATTGTTCTCTGTTTGAACAATAGGGAAATGAAAGATACTATTTGGATTAATAAAAGAAAAAATATTTCAGTTTAATAAATTTGTAAATAATCTAAAAGAAAAAAAGTGTTCTATTAATTGTTAATTAAAATGTTTAGAATTGTTTATCAATAATTCGAAGTCGATCTGATCCAATTGTTGAAAATAGTAATAATAATGTGACTAATCAAAAAACGAGTCCATATACAAAGTTTTATCATAAATTCTATGAATTAGTTTTATCACGTATTGAATCATTATGTATTCGTTTATATCAAAGAGAATCAAATAATATTGAAAAATATATTTGGAATTTATTTTTATTTTTATTTGAAAATTATACAAAATTATTATTTCAATCAAGAGATTTAGATCAAATACTTTTATCATGTATTTATTATACAGCTAATTCAAATCGAATTTCAAATCAACAATTAACTTGGACAAAATTAATTCAAGCTTATATATCAATGCCAAATTCAAACAAAAATGCATTAAGAAGTGTTTTTATTCGACAAATTAATTCTGATCAAACAAATTATCAACAAAAACTATTAGATAAAAATCCATGTTTAACACCATCAAAACCAGCTGGAACAATTCATATTATCGATGGAAATTTAATTGGTGATATAACAAGTTTTTATGAAGAAATATTTCTTAAAATTCCAAATTTGGATTGTTTTTTTTCAACAAATCAATTAATTGACCTTCCACAAAGAAGAAAACGGAATGAAAATCAAAATGAACATATTTCAATTAATATTGGAATTAATATTAATGTCGATTATTCATCAAATCTTATTAAAACAAATTCATTTTCTTCAACAAATCAACAAATCAAATTAAATTCAAATAATTCAAATCAAAATGCTTCACCAAATGTTTTATCATCATCAATTCAAGCAGGTTTGTTATTTTATTAAAGATTTATTCTCTTCTTAAATTTCAATCTTATTAATTTAGGTGCTAATAATACAGTTCGGACAACTCGAACTCGAACAGAAGATGGAAAATTTTTAACAACAATATCAACAATATCAAAATTAAATAATTTAGATTCAAAAAATGAAAATATTATTATTAATACAAATCAAACAAATCTTTTATTTGGTCAATCAACAACAACAAATAATTCAATTAAACGAACACTTTCCGATGATCCAAATTCAAATTGTTTAACAAGTTTAACAAAAAAAGTTTTACAAATTGAAAATGATAGACAAAAACTTCAACAACAACAACAACAACAACCACCACAATAACAATATTAAATTCATTTGTTTAGATATTGTTAACATACATATTCAACATTTCTTTCTCTCTTTCTTTCGTTGTTTTTTGTTCATTAGAAATTTGTTAACATGTTAATAAATATTATTAATTATTATTTAACAAATTTATTTTCTTTTCCAACACACATTATCAAATATCGATCGAAAAACTATTAAGAAAAACTCTTCATACTTCGAAATGATTTTCATTAGAAAGATTAATTATGAGTTTAATTATATCGAGAGATATTCTTAGAATTAGTATTGAGAAAATAAGAGAATAGAAGAACAATATTTTGTTTGATTTCCACTTTTCATCGATGACAGTTAAATTTTTCTATTAATTCTACAAATTCCATATTACGAATATCTAATAGAACAGATTACGAATAATATTCACTCATATGAATATCAATATTACAAACAATCATCTATCCAACTATGTTACACTTCATTGCCAAATTTCACTTATACGACAGTCAATATTAAAATAACAGATCTTGTTTAAATCTATTTTCATACTTAATAAATAATATTTAATCTTAAAAGTTTATCTGAGAGTATTTTTTTCTAAATTCAATAAAAATGACGTTTGATAAAAATGATGAATTTCTTGTCTCGAGTGTATTGTTTTATCTCATCGGAAATAAATAAATAATGGAAAGAAAAGATCAAAGCGACATTGAGTTATTATAATATAGATGTCGTTGTTAAAATGATTAAAGATAAAATAATTTAATAAATAATTCGTATAAAAGTAAAGAAATAATATTTGAAATGAAATGAAATAAAACTAAAAAGTGAGAATAAAATGTTTTGTTAAAGGTATTTGGAGGAAATGCTTAAAGTAGTATGGTTGGTAATAAATAGAATAGAAAAAGAGGTTGTTCGAGTCATTTGATTATTTAGTGGAGCAAGGTTAACAATGACTGACTTTTGATTTATTCGTCCGTGACCATTTTATATAGTTTGGCTTTTTCCTTTTTTTCTTTCAATTTCAAATTATGATTTATCTCATTTCTTTTTCAATCTTATTCGGTATGAAAATGAATTTTTTTCTCGAAAAAGAAAATCTTGTTTATTTTCTAAAATTTAGTAAATGTTGTGAATAGTTTATTATGTAAAACAGCATCACCTGCAAATTGCATTTATAATTCAACATGTGTATATGAAACAAAAGAATGTCATAAAAATTCTTTATCAAATATTCGTGGTGGAGTTTATTGTTCAACATTAATAAAAATAGTTAATGATGAGATTTATATTGGAAATATGGATTGTATGTATGATCAAGAAATTAATAAAAGATGTAAAAATCAAACACAATGTTTAACGAAATCTACAAGAAAAAATGATTCTTATTTACATTGTTGTTGTGATCAACAATTTTGTAATCTCAATTTTACTATGTAAGTTACACATATTATTTCAATCTCTATTTCTATTTCATTTTTAAGAACAAATAGTTCACAATCTGAATCACCGACAAATATAATCATAGGTAAAATTTTAATAAAATTTCAAATAATTTTTCATGTTTTGTTAAATTGAATAGATGGAAAATGTGAAAAATTGTTATGTAAATGGGAATATGTGATATTATTATGTTCAATTATTGGATTTATTATAATAATTCTAATAATTCTTTGTTTTATTTATCGAAAAACATTAAAACGTGGATGGAAAAAAATTCGGGGATTTTTTCCAAAATCGAAATTACCAGAAAAACCATTCCCTGACCCTGACTCTGTAACAACACCATTAATTGAGCAAGATATATCTTCAAAAGATTTACAAATTGGAAATATAATAAAACGTGGAAGATTTTCTTTAATTCATAAAGGTTTTTATAAAAATGATGAAGTTGCCATTAAAATGTTAACTGATTCAAATGGAACTTATGAAGCGAATAAATTATTTTTAAATGAAAAAACTATTTATTTATCACCATCCATTCAACATTCGAATATTCTCAAGTAAATCTCTATTTCATTTTCACATTTTTTATTACAAATAAGGAAAAAACAAAATTTAGCCACTAGATATTTTCAATGAATCTTTTATGAGATAAACACTTTTTTTAAAAGTAACCAGATATTGTCTTAACATTTGAAATTGTCTACACTTTTAAAATCTATTGAAGTTGATTATAAGAATGATTAAATGTACACATGATAATAGAGAATTTGAAAGACTAAACAAAATATTTCGTTAGATATGGAAAAGATAAATTTTATAGAAGAATGACAATTTCATTGGAAACAAATAAAAATCTAGATATCCTTTACAATTATCAATGAAAGACATGTACGTTATCTCGAAATTTTATTATGAATATAACGACAATATTATTTGTAAAAGATCGAAAATTGTAAAGAATATCTACTCGTTCAAAAAGTTATTCATTAGATAATGATCTGTCAAAAAATAGAAAATTCATTTCAAATCTCATTTTTAACTTGTCTTCATTTTATTCAATTGATTTTCCATTGAACAGAAATGAGATATGATGAAAAGAAAGACTTTGATAGAGAATTATAAGAACTATCGAATGGTATAATGTGTTTTCCCAAACGTTTTTCTTTGCAGAAGTATAAAAATAATCTTATTTTAGTATTTTAAAATTGAAATATGGTAAAAATTGATTTGTTTCTTTATTTGAATAGATATTATGGAAGTTTAACAGATGGAAATAAATATTATTTAATAACAGAATTTAGTTTTAATGGTTCATTACGTGATGTTCTTCATTCACGTTTGTTAAACGATGAAAAAGAATTAATATTAATATGTAAACAAATTTCATCAGGTGTTGAATATCTTCATCAAGATTTTCGATATCGAAATAATGATCCATATACTTGTCGACCACCAATTGCACATAGAGATTTAAAAACTGACAATATTCTTTATATAAATAATGAAAAATTAGTTATTTGTGATTTTGCAATGTCAATTAAACTTGATCAAACCCAAAATTTTCCAAATGAACAACAACAAGTAACACTTTTTTTGAATTCTTTAGAAAATTTTTATTTAAAAATTAAATAGATTGGAACTCCTCGATATATGTCACCAGAAATCTTAGCGGGAACAATTGGTTCAGATCCAACTGCTTTACTTCAATGTGATGTTTATGCTCTTGGAATTATTTTATGGGAAATTTTATCAAGATATCCAACTGAAGGTAAAGATTTACATATTTTTTTTTTATTTTTTTTTTAACAAAAACAAAACACCGATTAGATTCGAATGAAATGTATGAAATGCCGTTTGATAATCAATTACGTGAACGTCATTTGAGTTGTAGTCCATCAATAAATGATATGTTACAAATTATAAATTTACCAAGTCCATTAAATCGTCCATTAATACGTTCATCTTGGAAAGAGAGTAAAAATAAAAATATCAATACAATATCAGAAACAATGGGACAATGTTGGGATCAAATTCCAGAAGGACGTATTAGGGCTGCGCTAGTTGCATTAAGAATGCAAAAACTATCACAATCACAATCACAATAACAATAAAATAAATTGAAATAATTTTACATTCTCATTTAATTTATCTCAAATAATTGTTTTGTTTTTTGTTTTGTTTCTACATCTTTGTTTTGTTGGTCTTGTAAAATAATTCTTCTTTTTCCGTTTTTTTCTTCGCTTTCTTTTTTCAAAAAGAAAATTTTTTCTTTTTTTTTCAAAGAAAAAATTTTCCTAAAAAAATCTTTCTATTTGTCTTTATGTTCGTCAAATATATTTGTGTGTGTGTGTGTGTGTGTTTATTTAAATAAGAATTTATTATTATAGATATTCAATATTTTCCAAAAAGAAAAAACATTTAGAATAAATTAAGAATGCCAATCCTTGCAACAGAATCTGTTGAAGCATCATCAACTGATCTTAAACAAGAACAATCATCAGTTCAAATTAAAGATGTTAAAGATGGTAAGAACTTTTATTTTTATTTGAAAATTAAATTTTTAGAAATTTATTTGAAATAAAATCTTAGATTCTGATGAATCTTCATCCGAAGAATCTGGAAATGAAGGTGAAAAAGATGATGAAGCAAAACAATCTCATCCATTAGCTGAAGCAGCTGGAATTGATGAAGAATTACAATCAAAACAAAAACAAACTCGATCAGAAAAGAAAGCTCGTAAAGCTATGGCTAAACTTGGTTTACGTCCAATTCCAGGAATTCTTCGTGTAACAATTCGTAAATCAAAAAATATTTTATTTGTTATACAAAAACCTGATGTTTATAAAAGTCCAGCATCAGATACTTATATTGTTTTTGGTGAAGCCAAAATTGAAGATCTTTCTCAAAGAGCACAAATTGCTGCTGCTAATCAATTTAAAACTCTTGGACAAAATCAAGCAGGAGCTAATGCCAATTCTAATGATCAAACATCAAATCAAAATAATAATGACAAATCACAAACAGACAAAACTTCTAATATTCAATCTAATAATAAAACAGAAACTATTCAAGAAGAAGATGATGAAGATGAACAGGTTTTCTATCTTCTTATTTTAATCTAACTTTATTTTCATCTTTTAAAAAAAAAGGTTGATTCACAAGGTATTGAAGAAAATGATATTCAATTAGTTATGTCTCAATCGAAAACAACACGTTCAAAAGCTATTAAAGCTTTAAGAAAATGCAACAATGATATTGTTAATGCCATTATGGTTAATATATTCTAATTTTCTTTAATTAAATTTAACTTTTATTTTCTCTTCTATTTAGGAATTGGCTGAATGATAACAAATGAATTTATTTCATAGAAAAACCCAAATGATCAAACAAGAAGACTTGAAAAACTAGCCACTCATATTAGTTATTTCTTTTGATTTATTGTGATTACACCGTGTTTTTTTTTATTATTATTAAATATTAGAAAGACAAGAAAAAACAGCCAGAAAAGAGTGGCAAAAATAAAACAACAATTTACAATAAATTCAATCAATCAATATTTCATTTTCATTTCA